TCCATTTGAATGTATCTACCCCACTCTCCCTCTACTTTCGACTGCGCAAACACAAGAAACGAAACCCTTCGATGTTCCTTTTTTTTTAACCCTTCGATGTTCTTTTTTTTTTAACCCTTCGATGTTCCTTAGATGCCTTCGGTGACTGCAAAAAATGGCAAAGATAAACAAGTTAATCCCTGTGCTGAAATGAAGAGAACGACTGAAGCCGGACGTACTGGGCTACAAATCAAGCAGTCGCCTTCTTGGTTGGCCTTGCTTTGTCAAAAAATGATGAAGAGTTGAAGAAAAAAACGTATGAAGATGACGGAGGAATGGGTATGTACCGTGGTTCAATCTTCGATCTCTCTGCTTGGCCGGCTTGCCTGGTCGCGTAAAGTAAGAAGACGAGGAATATGGATCGTCAAAAGTGAAACACTAAAGCATACGGACAAAAAGTGAAACCCTAAAGCATACAGACGCATGGATAATAGGATATATGCGATCAAACATGTTTTATTTGATTACGGGAATGTTAGAAAGTTAAAATTTTTCAATTTAATAAATTTTATTATAAAATAATATGACATGCATGTCAAACACGCGTATCCATTTTAATTAAAATATTATTTTAATCAGACATACATGTGTCTTGTTTGACACATGCACCAGTTGTGTCGGGCACGTGTCCGTGTCCGACACATTTCGGACACTAAATTCCCTCTTACGGAGGTGTGTCGATGCACCATAGTCTTTCAGTCTCACCTCATCTCTCTTCACTCTTACACAATTCTCATACAAAAACTAACAAAGAGATATACAATAAAGATAAGGGACACATCCTTCATGAAAAACAAGAGAAAACTCCTTAGCCCGCCTCGTAGAGCCATGGCACTAGGTTTGGAGCATCGTGGCGCTCCACTCTGTCTCCAATTTGCCTGACATCACACCGTACTGCTGGGGTTCGGAGCGTTTCAGTGCTTCACTCTGTCTCTTGCTTGAGCGTAGCGCCATAACGTCAAGGTTTTGAGCATCACAGCGTTGTACGGTTGTACAACTAGTGGTGTCAAAAATTGACATGACTCGAAAACCTGACACGAAAATTTCGGTTTCGGGTTATCCCGTATCCAAAATGGGTCCGTTTCGGGTCTTGATTTTCATCCTGTTTCAAATTCTGGGTCAGGTTCGGGTTGACCCGAAAACCTGACAAAGACTCGGTTTTGACTCAAAGAAGTGCACGAAGAGGAGAAAGTTACCTTCACAGCGAGTGAACTCCTGTTGTTGCTTCCAATCACGTTGTAACTTTCAATTCGATCGAAAGGGAATGCCGTGCAAGGAGTGAAGTCAAACAACAATGAAGGAGCTTCACAGCGAGCGAACTCCCGTCGTTGCTTTCAATCAAAATGTTGTAACTTCCAATCCGATCAGAAGGGAACACCATCCAAGGAGCGAAGTCAAACAACAATGAAGGAGCTAGCCAGCGAGCGAATTCCCGTCGTTGCTTCCGATCAAATGGTTGTAACTTCTGATCCGACTGGAAGGGAACATCGTATAAGGAGCAAAGTCGAACAACTACAAAGAGCGCACGAAACTGAGAAAGTTACCTTCACAATGACAATCATCAAACTCTGTCGTTGCTTATATAATTGTATTAAGTATTATTTAATTTATAGATAATGAATAATGTATTGTACTTATACATAAAGACTGTTCATCCAATATATAATTAATTTAAATATGCACTCAAAATTATAAGGAATAAAATTTTTAATAAGTTCGGTACTTTATCAAACCCATAATGCTCACAAGGCACATTATCAAAATTATAAGGAATGATTTTTTTTAAAAAAAAAATTCTATTTGAAATACTGGAATGTTTGGACAATAAAGAGAAAGTTGATGGTAACGATCAAAATATTTGAGAATTAAATAAGCTTCATTCTTATTATTAGAGCTTAACCTTGATGATTTTATACTATATCAGTTGAATATCATCTATTAATATTTATTTAAAGTGTTTGTTGTTTTAAATAATGGTAATTATAATGTTTAATGGATTATGTCGAGTATTAGACATTGAAGACATTCAATTGTTGTGAGAGATAATATATGCTTATGGAATTCTATTTAAACATTGGTTATCTACTATTTGTATTAGTATAAAATGAAGATTAAATGACATGAAATTTAATTAATTTTTTTGACAAAAAATATAAGTTAGATTCAACATAATTCAAAATGATGCGAAAATATATATTGAAATGATACAAAGATATACGATGGAAATGAGATTTTTCTTCAAAACACTTAAATGTAGACTTCCCCTTAGGGTTGTGAACTTATTAAATTATTGTCAATTTCAATTTCACCTTTCCTTAAGAGCAGAAATCATTAAAAAAAAAATTACTCCAAACTCTTCAAATTTGCTCAATCATTGATTATTGAGGCTTTAATGGATATCAAAAAATCAAAATTGAGTCCATGATGTCAAATAATGATCCTAGGGACCTGGAGAAGGCCATAATAGGCTTGTTAGTTCAAGACTAGTATAGTGTCCAACAACAATTGACACGTGTGCTAGGCATGTGTTTTATACTATTTTTCTTAAAAGTTAAAATACTTATCTATTTTTAAATAAAATATTAAAAAAATTTAATATCCATTAATAGCTAAAAATTGTTGAAATTTTTTTGAAAATTACAAAAAATTTATTGCTCCTTTCCTCCACTTATAAATATCCTATATAAGTAACAAAGCCCTACATGAGGTCCTGGTTGTGTACCCATGTCTTATTCGGACGCGCTTCGCCCACCCACACCCACCCATGGTGACTTCCGGGATTTTGTACCCACCTCTACCCACCCACTTTCCACTTTTTTTGAACACAGTCTGCCACGAAGTGATGGCCTTGAGGCTTGTTGTCATTTGCTATGATGGCAAACTTTCAAGTCGTATATCAAAATTTATCGTACTTGTAGTGTGGTTAAGTGCTGCACAATACATAGTGATGATTGCAATAGTATAAGTAAGATACATGGTGATTATTAATGTAAATCGATTTATTCCTCGATATTTAGTACCCACCCATACCATACCCACCCATACCCATTGGGTATGGGTGGGTACATGGGGGAGTGTGGGTATGGGTACCCAATGCAAGGCTCTGATAAGTAAAGAAAAACTCGCACCAAAGTTTGCAATTCTTGTGATGGAGCTTCAATCTTCTTCCAAATGAATATTGATAATTTTTTTTTAGACGAATTAGATCGGAGATGACCAAGGTTCTTTGAAAAAGGTGTTAAAAACTACCTCCATTTGGACATATAGTAGTCAAGTCAGAGATTTTTCAGCCCATTTTAAAGCATTATTTTTCCCTTCTAGACGAGTCTATTGTCCTCTAAAATTATAATTGCGTTTGAGACCAATTCAACAATACTTTTTCAGCATTATGATGCATGTATGACAAGGAGAGTTTCACCATAAACCATGGTAATTTGTATGGTATCTTGATTTTTTTTTATTTTTGCACCATATTTTTATTTGTTCTTGCTCAGTTCCTTCTATTCTTAGTCTGTTTTTTTTTTTAGAATGATCATATATATATATATATATATATATATATAGTTTCCAAAAAAATTTCGCAAAATTTTATCATTTTTTGGGGATTTTTATGCTTCTTTGGCTAAATCACGATGTTTCTCAATTTGAATTTTTGCTATCAAAGAAGTTATGAAAAATTTGAATTTTTTTTTTTTAAATATTGATAACATCTTTACCCACCTCGTCAAATTTTTGCATGTTAAAATGTTGTCATTTGGTGGGATAAAAAATTTAAGAACTATAGCTAAACAACTTGATACTTTTTATGATTGTTGACGATGAATTTCTTGTAAGTTGTAACTTGTGCATTTTTTTAAATTAGCTGAATTTTTTTGGTAGATGCTCCTCTTACTAGTTTCTTTAAAAAAATATTTAGAATTTTTATCATTTTAAATATTTTAGAAAATTTTTGAGTAAATGTTGTTTAGTTCATGCAGTGTCATTGCGGTAGATAAATTCATTAGAAAATCAAATGGTTAGTATTCTCATGGTACCTTTATCTGAGGTTGTCAATTAAGAACGCCCACGCCCTTTTTGAGATTATCTACGACAAGGCTTGTTCTTTTTCCCCGTTTTTTGGTTGCTATTGCAATGGACTTCTTTTCTTGCATCGTGGAAGAGAAAGTGAGAGTTGGGGATTTTCTTTCTATTGTTTTTCAATCATGTTATTTGCTGATGATCTATTGTTATTTGATAAGGCTGTGAGATCTATCTCGACCCCGCCCTGACCCTCTATTGGACCCCTGGTCTCGCCCACGCAAGCCAGCCTTTGGATTAGCATTTTGCAAACGATCGTGTTGGGTTCATGTTAGAAATCTTGACCCGTTTGTAAAATCGGTTGGGTTCGGGTTGACCTGTTAGACCCGAGTCAAGTCGCGCTCGACCCAAACCCGACCCGTCGACCCGTTTTGGCACCCCTAGACTCCCGCCCTCATAATCATGGTGTATGTGGCCTTTATTTACAAACATCAGGCTTTGTTGATAACTTTAGCACCTTGGGAATATTGAAGTGTGGAAGAGATTTATGATTATCAGACTATCCTATATATTATACTTATCTTTTAAATTACTACAATATTGAAAGGGGAAAAAACAAAAACAAGGTCAAATGGGGGATTTCATAAGCGATCAGCACTGCCTGTCATGAACGCCTTCCTTCCATCACATTAATCTGTGTCTGGTTCCAAAATCTCTATTTTGAAAGCGTGGATCTTGGTCTTACTAGAATATAATAAAAGTTCCATGTTGAGCTCACTCGATATAATAAAAGTTCCATGTTGAGCTCCTGTAGTAAGATTTAGAAGTAGATATAATCATATAAATTAGCTATTTCTGCAATTTACCCAACCACATTTTCTGAATTGATATTGTGTGCTTGAAACAAGATGATCTTCATGTTTAATAAAATTTCTTCTCCGCAGACCACTTCAAGGCGCCTCGCTGACAAAAAGATCGCTAAATTTCAGAAGAACATAACAAAGAGAGGATCTGTTCCTGAAACCACTGTAAAGAAAGGGAACGATTATCCCGTTGGTCCTATAGTTATTGGCTTCTTCGTTTTTGTGGTCATTGGATCATGTGGGTTGAACCTGACCTAACCTCTGTTCTCTATTTTTGTCTCTATTGCGTTTCATTATAAACAAGGAGGCTCACATGAAATTTCTACACTTGGTTTGCAGCTTTGTTTCAGATAATTAGGACGGCCACTAGTGGCGGGATGGCTTGAGGAGGGAACCGACTGATGGATGGGAGTAGCTATTGGTTGGAAAAAAAAATAGAGCAACTGTTCCAGAATATTCACAATTTGCAAGGTTTGAAAATTATATTACAGCATGAGGGAGTTTAGAATTTGACCTTTGTTAGGTGTAATCATGTTACAGTTGACAGTATGATCTGGATGAACAGTGTGTGTGTGTGTGTGTGTCCTATCTCTTCTTTAACTTCTTTTTTTTTTCTTTTGAACTGAATTTAAATCAAATTAAAATAAACTAAGAAGCTAATCATAATATAAGAATATGGATAACAAATTTATACATTTTGAATAGAGTTAGACGTAGGCTAAGTGATTCGCGAAGATAAAATGAAATCCTTTTGTACCGTAACTTATATTTTTGTCGAAGTCATAGTTCGGCGGTTGAGGATAGCTGCAGTACTGAGGTAGAAGTGTATAATGAATGAGACGAATGCCAACTGGAACTAAAATAATTGTTTTACCCTTAATTCGGAACCATAGATGAGTTTTGGTAGAAAGAGCTTAAATATATATTTTTTTAAAGAAAAAAAAAGTTTTTTTTTTCTTTCTGAGGGTTTCATTGGCATTATTGTTCTTAAATAAACTAAAGAGACGATAAAATAAATTTGGCAAATATTTTTAGAATTTTAAATATACTTATTTTAAAAATCTATAATTACATAAAAATAAGCATTGGATGATTATATGTTTTAAAATAAAATTTCAAATTTAATCAATTGTAGATGTTTCTAATTTTAAATGACAAAACCGACATAAAAGTGTGCTAAATAATTTGTTTGTTATAACTACATTTATATTAAATTTATGCCTTAAAACTATTTAAGATTAATTATTATAAAGTAAAATTAGTGATTAGTGAAAGTGATTATATATTTGCAATACATTCTATTAAGTCATTCCTAAGCTCATAATTGGAAAGCTCAAATCTATCATCCCCAAACTCATTCAACTAGCTCAGCATGCATTCACGCCTGATAAACATATAATTAACAAAATTATCCTTGCTAATGAGCTTATTTTTTATTTCAAATATTCAAAACGCTCGTAAACACTTTTGTGCCAAAATAAACATAAGAAAAAGGCATTGAAGAAATTAATTTGAAGCTTTCTGGACTCAAAATTAAGGATGTCTACAGTTGTAAATAAGTTGAGCTGAGTGTCTACCAACTGAAGTCGAGCTTTTTTTTATTTTTTTTTAGCTTGACTAAAAATTGTTTAGTAAGCTCAAGCTCAACTTGTTAAAAAATTTATAGACTCAAATTTAACTCCATTTCTCAAACTTGTGTGAAAAGTTCAAGATTGATTTGATTATTGAGCTTGATTTTTTTTATTTTAATTTTAAGGATATTTATTTTCAATATAGGATTAATTTAAAATTTTTAAATATATTATATAATATTACCTTAAATTAATTTCAATAATGAGCTTTTGGCTCGAGCGAGGCATAGCTCAAGCTTAGGATCATTTAATATACGAGCTTAGTATAGCATCAAGCGCGATATCAATGCTCTATAAGCTCAAGTTGTGAGATCATTAACAAATCAAATTATAGACAGCTTGACACAACTCTCCTTGGCCTATTGGTTGAGAGCTTAGGCTTCCAACTAAGAGGTCCAAGGTTCGAGTCTATGTGTATGCGTGTGTGTGAGTTTGCCTTAATTGTCTTAAATGTCCCCAAAAAAAAAATTATGGATAGCTTGAAATATTAGCTCCTCACTTTCACTAGCAGATATCAACATATATATATCTACTATTTGAAATTATCTTCATTACTAATTCAAATCTACAAGCATTCCTAAAGGTATCAGAATGAAAGTCACTAGCCTCATTAATAATTTTCATCATAATAACGACTACATCTTATTTCATTAAACACCACCACTTAACCATTTAATAAAAAAGATTCAAGTCTTCATAATCTAGATTATTTACATATGATGACCAATTGCAAACTCATTTAGAGATTCTTAATACTAACACCTATACCGCCTACTCATGGACTAAGTAGCTAAAAAAAGCAACTTGCATTTGGAAAGCTCTTTGTTGTTGCAATTTGTTAACTTTGATATCATGTTGCTACTATTTGGTGCACCATTGATTCATAATTATTTTCTTATTTGTAGAACTGTGCTATAAATTCCTTATAGTTTCATGTTGGTGTGGTTTGTTGGCCCATTGGGCACCCCATCAAAGCTTTATTAATGAGTGTGCTATTCACATATGAAAGGACAATGTATTATTCAGTTGATCTTATCATCATGTAACTAAAATTTTCTATTGGAGCAAGCCAAGGACGTGGAGCTCAAGTATAAACGAGCCAAGCTGAACTCAAATCACCTCTAACTTGAGCTTGATTATGTAATCGCATTTGAACTCGAGCTACATTCAAAGAGTTCAAGCAGATTCAATTATAGTTTTAAAAACCCAACCAAATTGAATACAGTCCAATTCAACCGAGAAGATGATCAAAAAGATTGAAGTATCAAATATTTAAAAATTAATTATTATATTATTATGTTAATTTTATTAATTTTAATTTTAATTTATATAATCATCATCTTGATCAACCCCAATCAAATTAATCAAACAGTAAAGCTCTTCTTCAAATTAGTTGTTTTATCAGATTTTCAAAAACTGATGTATCATGATTTTTTTTTGCATTTTAAATTCACCCCAAGTTTCATTAAAACAGTAAAGCTCTTCTTCAAATTAGTTGTTCTATCAGATTTTCAAAAAAAGATGCAGCATGAAATCTTTCGGCCAAATTCAAAGACCTCACAAGTCATCATTTGCCATTCCTAACGGCCAACCCACAAAACAATAATTAAGGGCAGGTTCAAATTAATATCTTGACCAATAAAAATGTGTCCCGTCACCTCAAAAATATACCAAACAAGATGCTGAGCATACACAACTCTCCTTGGCCTATTGGTTGAGAACTAAGGCTTCCAACTAAGAGGTCTAAGGTTCGAGTCTCTGTGTATGCGTTGTGTGTGTGAGTTTGACTTAAATGGCCTAAATGTCCCAAAAAAAAGATGCTGAGCACATTAGAGGAAGGGAGAATCGTCCGAAATTCACAATTAATGCTCCTACATTTGGAAGAATTGAATGTTGCATTGTTGCCTCATGTGCCATTCGGGGCTTAATATTGAGAAAGAGAGAGGAATGACTTTTCATTTTGGACAGAGAGAGAGAGAGGTGAAAGAGAGGATTAAGGCCACAAGAGACAAGAGGAAACCTGATCAAATTTTTGTAATAGTCACCAACATCTTACATATATATGAAAAACATTAATAATTTGATCTACATTTAACTCCTCTCACCCTCAAACAAACATTGTCCTATGTTTATGCTTTCTAAACTATAAGAGACATGTTATTTGAATTCTTAATTTTGATCTACAAAATTCTCTTAACTCTAACAATGAGACGCCAAACAAAATTATTTTATTTTAAGATCCCACTTCCCTAAATAAAATTTTGACAACACCACAAGCACTTTCTTGCCACTACCATTAAACTTTCCAATGCATTTAAGTTGTTTTAAACAAAAAATCACCTATATTTATTTTATAATCATCTAAATAAAATTTCAAAGATATTGTATTTTTATTCTATTCTATTATAATTTACTATGCAACTTCTTTAAAAGCAAATGAAAAGAGGAATGGTGAACAATAACTACACTTTTAATGTTCAAAATCACACAATCGAACAATTCTCCATATCCGGATCCATACTTAATACTCTCTCCATAAGAAAATCAATGAAGCATACAATTTAGATTTACTTATAGTATCAAATTTAATTTATCTTCAATGTAGTTAAAATTGGTTCGAATTTTAAATTCACAACTATGACAATCTCCACCCGAAAAACTCATTTTATAATCCAAAAATACCCACATTTTGAAAATCGGACTGGACCGACCGGTCCAACCAATTCAACCGTGAATCAGTCTGAAGGCCAGTCCAATTCAGCCTTAAAAACCGGCTGTGCACCAAACCGGCTAGAACCGATGTGAACCACCGGAACCGATTAACCGGTCTCACTTCTCTAAAACTAGCCGGTCAAAGTTTTTTCCACTTGACTGTCTACAGCTCCATTGTGTGTGCTCGAGGTAAAAGTTTTGTATAAATGTATTGCATGAAGCGTAATGATCATACATCTGTAATGCAATGTATGTCCCATCCTTCTACCCTTTCTTGGAAGTAGAAAGACTATTCATAGCTATTAGCTTGACACCAAAGAAGAGTTCAACACAATCTTTTATTTATGTCCTAGTTGATCCTGATTCAACACCCACTGTTGACCCAGCACAAAATGAGAATCTGGCATTCGGTTGGAGCTCACACCAACTACAAATCCTCGTTTGGCATTTGGATGGAGAAGCTCTTAAGCTCCCCTCCTGCTGCTATGGAGACTGCGGCCATCAACAGGCCGCGACCAATGGGTTTTATAAAATTTAATTAAGAAAAAACCCCTGTATTTTTAGAACAAATTGCAGGAGCCTGTTGAATACTAAATAACTGCAACAAAGCAAACCCTAAGATCGCTGCATCAACAATTGCAATAATCTCTGTCGCTTTAAACATAATAAAAAATCATATTCAACCGGCACAAAATTTAAAACTTAACTAAACACCAAAAAACCATTATATGTTTCAGAGCATCAGACAATAAGCGGAATTTAGAAGTCCTCAAAGGATTTCAGAGTGTAGGATAAGAAATTTGATTTGCATCATCTGCTCCAAAAAAGTACCAACTCTTATAACAAAAATAAGAATCGCTTCCAAGAAAGTACTCAAAATTTCGATCGGACCATTTAACGCTAAAACAATGGAAGAACATGCAAAGCGCTGGTAAGCCAACCTTATTTCGATCTAAGCACTTATTATATCTCCCCATTCAATAATGTTCATGAGAATAGGATAATATGTGCTAAACCCAAATTTCTTTCTCCAAAACAAAATCAATAAGCGAAATATGATAATAAGATTAAACGGTTTTGATATAAGTAAAAACCTCAGAAAAGAAACAATAGTTAAGTATCGCAGACGCAAGTCTAGAACCAAATTTAGAAGGTGTAAAGGAATGAAAAGAACCAGTAGAAAGGGAAAACCTCTCAGATGCCATTAATTAGGCAACAAAATTGCAGACAATCAACACGGCATCAGATTCAGACCGCCCGTCTGCGTTTTCGTCGTCATCGAGGAGTTCGAAGAAGGCGATTGTTGTAAAGAGATGCAGCGATGGCCATGTATGGAGTAGGAGAGGTCAGGAGATGGAAGGGTTTGAGGTAAAATGTGAGAGAGGGAGGGAGCGAGTGAAATAGAGAGGCTGCGAAGAAAGAAATCGTCGCATAGCTTTCTCCGGACGGCCTATAAATAGTTGTTACCCTTCGAAACCCTAGAACACTAAAAAGGATCATACATCACGGATTCATTGTCTTTGAATGATGAGATCTCAACCGTAGAAAACTTAATTATTAAAAAAAATAATTTTTTAAACTATTTATTTCATATAAATATGTAATTAGAAGAATTAATAAAAATTTCAGACAAGAATAAATGATGCTTATCATATTAATTTAATTTTATTTATTTACTATAAAAAATTAATATTTTTATGATCTTATTAGGATATATTGTAATGTAAAATAAGCTCATGTTAAATTATATTGAGTGATAAAAAACTAAAAGACTTATTATTTATTGATTATGTCATGATTTTTTTTTTCAACTATTAAATCATCAAAAAAATATTATGTAGATAGTAAAATATCATATTATTTTCAGAAATATTTGAACATATTCTAATATTATATTTTTAACATCTTTCATTATTTATCTTTCATAAATGCATCCTACCTCTAGGAGAAGAAAAATGATTTTTTAAAGAAGAAGCAAGTGTTTAATTTAAATTAGTAATAAAAACAAAGTATTAAAAAAAATTTAAAAAAAAAACAAATTAGCCAAGCGTTTTTTTTTTTTTTTTTTTTTGGATGAGCAAAGACGCTTAGGAATGATAAAATTAGAACAAAAAATTTTGAGGGGGGGCAAAATACCCAAAATATTCTAAAATATCCCCTCTAAATATTTTTTTTTATGGATGAGTACATGGAGAATCCGCCCATGATTATACGTGCTCCATCAAAAAAATCCGAAGAAAAATCTCCCCATCACATTGATCTAATTTGCCTATTAAAAATAAAAAGTATGACTGATAACATTTGTTTACATGATATTGATATCAAATATTTCCATAGGCGGATCCACCAAGGACTGAGGCTCGGCAAATGCCCACCCTCAAAATATATATATATATAGAGAGAGAGAGAGAGGAGAAATTTTGGAATATTTTTTGCTCTAATTTTATCAATCCTATGCATCTTTGTCCATCCCACACAAAAATAAATTTTTTGCCCACCCTGAAAAAAGAAGCTGGATCCGCCCCTGAATATTTCATAATGAAGATAATTGTCACACATTTTTAGTCTTTTTCTTGATGGCTGAATATCCATTAACTTTGATTGTTCTAAGATTCAATTTGTTTGGCTGATTTTAAAGCTCTGAGTTCCTTTTGATAGTCATCTACATAACAAATGTCCATTATTATAATATTAAGGTCACATGGAATTATATCACTCATATTGGAGCCACAATTTTTTATCTTCAGTAGTATTGCCATATTTTAATTATATTAAATTGGTTAATAAGAAAATTGATGGGGACTAATCCTTCTTAGGAAATTGACCGATTGTAACAACTGAATTTTTCAGTTCAAGCTTTTGAATCTTCATAGCTTAGAGTTTTCTTTTCTCATGGTTAAATAACTAGCCTAACCCTCTCATCAAATATAAAATGATTAAGGTTTTATCCTCGACTAATCAGTTTAGTATGTTTTCTAGTACTTAATATAAAATTAAGCCTCCAATTTCATTAAGGGGTGCAAGCGAGTCGAGTCAAGCTTGAGTCGAGAGCCTAACTTGAGTTCAACTTGCAAGCTAAAATTCGAGCTCGAACTTGAGTCGAGCTCAAGCTCAACTCATGACAATGAATATGAGCTTATCGAGTAGCTCGATTCCACATCCACCTCCGCCAGTTTCACGTATTTGCTGGACTTCCACGTCCATGCCAGACTCAACAAGCTCGATTCCACGTCCGCCTCATTCCGAGTTTGTGCCCGTGTCTGAGTCCACATTCGCGTCTGCCCTGATATTACATCCATGATTCTGTATTCGTGTTTGAGTACGACTTTGCCCCACGATCCTAAATTAGGGTCCAAGCCAACCCCGTGAGCTGCTCATTGAGTAATCGAGCCCAACTTCAGTAGGATCGAACTCGAGCTCGATTATACAATGAGCTCAAAATTTTTACTTGAGCTCAAAACTCGATAAGCTTGACTCCCGAGCTCATAAATGAGTTGAGCTCAAGCCTGCTCGCGAGTTAGTTTGGCTCTATTGCACCCATAATTTCATCTAATAACTTTCATTCCATCAAACATAGGTTTATGCTCCAAAAATATGGAGTCATTGTTGTCATTTTCATGCAGACTAGCTATCATTGTAGGGGGAATTTCATTAATGGTGATTATATGGTCATTTTGTATAAGAAGCTAAAGGCTATTAAATTTGCAAGTAAAAAAAAACACCATATGCCATGTCATTGTGGACTTGAGGGTAATTAAGGTCAATTGGATTATTCTAAACCACAATGAGTCATATAAGATAAATGATAAGAGTGCATCATCTTAACATTATAATTTGCAAATTGTTCCACTATGTTAATCCCCTTTTCCTTCGTTATTCATTTCTTCTTTTATGGCTTAGTATAGGAACTTTGCCTTCCATAGAAATCAAAGGTGAGATCTTTATCAAAACCTATTATTTAAGTTCAATGCATGAACCCATCCTATGCCTTTTGTGGGGCATGAGATATTTACTCAACATCCTCTTTCATTGTTAGAATAGGGCAATATGCCACTCTTCATTAAAATCTTAAGGTACGATGTTTTTACCTATTAGGAAATAAGATAGAACATTCATAAATGAAAGATTGGCCCGTTCTTGGGATCAACCAAACAACAATTAGAAATGTGAACTAGCTAAACCATACTCCTTTGTTAACATATTCTTTGAAAGTTAAATAGTCCTCAATAACATCTCCCAATGTCTTACGCTATAGAAAAAAATAGGGGTGATTTGTTTGATTAGCCTCCTCTAAGCTTTTAGCTCTATCATCATTTTTCATAATTCAATTTCTTCAAACATTTTCTTTCTGGCTCTGCCTAATATTTTATTGTATCGTTTGCTCAACCAAAATAAGTTCCTCTAATGGTACCTTATACATGTAAGCCATTTGCTTTGCCATGGCCTCAATAGCCTTCATCATCTCATCTAGTCTACTCTTTAAATAGTGAGTGTAATTATTATTTTCCTTTACTTGTACTAATAATTCTTGTGACTGATCTACGTGACTCTCATCATTTGTCATCTCCTAGTATCCTTCATTAATTGGAAGGTTTGTATGAGATGCCCATATTAACTTAAGTTTTAAATTATACGTTTCACATTCTAAAAATATAATGTTGCCATACAAAAATAAATTACGTAAAGATAAATTATTAAGCTTTTTATCTTTAAATCAATTATAGAGCAATAAATTAATTTTGTTCTTTAGATAAAAAATATCACTTATGAGAGAAACATTTTCCTTTTTTAGGCATATATCTCTTTCTTAATACAATATTATTTTTCTTTTTCTTTAAAAAAAAAAAAACAATTAATTCATAAAAAATTTTGATAATTCATCTTAAGAAAACTCTCTTACCTCATCATTATCCTTAAAATTATATGATTGCTCAATAATGTGGATACTAATCTTATTTTTATTTTTTATCTTCTATTAGAAGTGTTCTTAGGATTTTTGAAATATTCCTCCCTCTTCTTCTTTTATCCCATGCTTTTAATTTTTTCTTTCCTTCTCCTTCTTGTCTCTCTTGTAGAATGAATAACCTTATGGTTCTTAACATACTTGTTAGCATTCTCCTTCAATATTCTCTTTTCTTC